TGAATAAGATAAGTAGATGGGATGGAAGGAACTCGAATAAACCTATTAACAAGTGGACCAAAACCCAATTGGAACAAGAAGTTGGTATGTGGATAGAATAAAATACTCTTACCAATCAGTTAGAAATCTATCCTTCTGCATGGATAAGTAATGCGAGTATTTATAGCACAGTGCTTGGACTGGTCGGGCTGCCCAAAAGGCTACCCGCCGCGACCCCTGACACTCTTGCCACCCCATAACTGTCTTGATCGTGGCGATACCAGTAGCTGCTAACCGCGAGTATTTCTAACATTAACTAGGTAGATGTGATGTTTTTCCAAAAATAACGCGGCCCCTAAGAAGTGTGACAACCGAGGCGAAAGGGGTTCCAAAGTTAATGATCGCGACTAGTCATCATTGGACCATGACCTCGAGAAGGCCTCGTACGCGATGTCCCCAGTGTACTCCTACTCAGATCATCCCTTCCCTCTCTAAACCCCTTCCTTGAGACTTTTGTGAAGGTGCCCGATAGAGGAAACTCATCCTACATATTGATTTAGACCAATGACCCTAGTTACCTTACTTAGAAGTCTCTTGGATCCTGGTGAAGAGACATCCCAATGGACAATGAGTCATACACTAGAAGCCTGCTCAGGTAGGCTAAACCTTCGAGACCCTATCCCAGTCTGAGGTTGATAATCATGCTCGTCTGTCCTCATTACTCAGTTCTCTTTTGGGGAGGGTCATACTGTTGTATCCCTAGGTGGGGACCCTCATCTTAATCCACTAGGCCAGTCGAGCAACTGTGTCCAATAAGTTGAGAATACAAATTTCATTGGCTGTACAATCTTAGCAATCTTAGCCCTGCGCCTTGTTTCCACAGTGGGGGGTGAGTCACGCCAAGGTTGCCCTTGGACTTCCGTGGTGCCTCTCTTGTCCTTCTTTAGTCAATGGTCCATTTTATCACTTTCAATGTGATGAGGATGTGTCCTTGCTCTTCAGTGGCACTGGGCGCTTGCCACAGCACTATGCTGTGCTGTCGCGGTTTTGATGTCCGTCTTGGCACTGTTGTCTTTACCAATCTTGATGGACCCTGTTGGACTCCACTGCCATGTCAATTGATAGTACGTGTCCTCAATTTATTGGTACTATATTTACCCTTGCGTGCGCTAGGTTGCGAGAAGCGTCCTACGTGTACACACCATAGTCTCTCTGCACTCCATCGTTTGTAAAAGGTAAACCCTCTTTTTCATTGCTTAGAATTTGGTACTTAGTATTTTTTTATTATCATATGTTTTTTTAGATGCCTTTTTCTTTTTTGACCGTTGGTGTATGTATATTTTTCACCAGGGTCTTCTGCATGAGAGGTCGTTAAAGAGACAATTTGTTGTCTCAAATCGCCCCCTAGCGCGAAGGTCCATATCGTAACATCTGCTACGGTGATGCCCCTCTACGAGGATCCATGTCGTTTGCGATTCTGATGACAACGATAACTTATACTCTCAGCACCATTTTCCATAAGGGACAACCTTCTGTTCCTACTACGCTTGGTTATAATGAGGCTCATTCTCAGGTGCCTACAGCTATCATTCCCAGGCCTGCGGATGCTGGGGATTCGGGATCTTTTGCCCTTTGTGCCAGGCGACACACAGAGAAGGAGCACAAGGAGAATATTGTTGTCGCTACGGTACACACTTGGACTCTTCCTTTTTGCCACTTGACATGATTCTCCTCTCTATTTTTTTGCACACTAACTTTCTTGTTTCATTTGCTCTAGGTTTGCGACGCTAGCAAGACTTTCTATTGAGGGTCGGTCTTCTGATCCCGTACCTGACGTCGGTCTTATGTGCCATTTTGATGGTATCGGTGCCAGTAGGGAGGGTAGTCTAGTTCCAACTCTCTCTTCCGGGGGAGGGGACACCCTTGACGAGCCCACCCATTCTAGCCACATGATTCATGAGAGTGGCCTTGGAAATCTTGATCAGGTAAGCCCCTCCCTCTTTGGCCTGGACTTTCCAACTTCACTCTTTTGTTAAGTGACGCTATGCATTTTCAGAATGATTTTGGCGACAAGTTCGTGGGTATTTCTTCTCCAAGCTTGAGTGATTTGACATTGCCTCTTTGGCGCCTGCCTTTTTTCCTTGTTCAGGTCTCTCAGACACTGTCTCGTTACCAGTCCCCTTATTTTTTCGGCTGCCTCCTTGTATATCCCTCCGACACCCATTCAGACCATTCCCTCCCATGGCAGTGTTTTCTTTCCATTGCCTTGGAAAGGATTGCCTCCTAGCACTCAGCATCCCCAAGCCGAGCGCCCTACTTGCACCGTTGCCACTGCTGCCTTTGCGTCCCAGCCGACGATGAGCACTTTTACTACCATTACCTGCGTTACCGAGGAGTGTGAGCCTTCGCAGCATCTTGGAGCCACTATCCTTCCCTTGCTCCCTCCGTATGATGGACCAGGTCATGGTGAGGAGATCACCTTATGGTGCGGTGAGTATTTCACCACCCTGAGGAGCATCCCTCTCTTGGAGCATTTATTGCGACATTACCCCATGATACTCTGCCGTTTGTCAGCACATAACAAGTGAAGTCAGTCTTTTACTTTGGACCTTCTAGCATCTTTGGTATATACTTGTCAACACCGGTCAGCGATGGAGCTCAGCCTAGGCGATTTTCTTAGCCTAGAGGGTGCGGTCCAGGACTTGTTGTCTTTTGGGATTACCATTCCGGTCCTAGGAGATCATATCGCTCATGCCTGCATTTTAGACGACAGGGAGCACATGCAAAGGCTGGTTGACTTCATGTAGGCTGAGAGTGATAATGTGCAACAGAGGTTTGAGGCAGGGTTTTGAAAATCGGCCGTTACGGTGTGTAACGGTCGTTATGTAACGGTAACGATGAGCTCCAATCCCGTTACACCCCGTTGTAGCGGGTAGAATAAATTTCACTCTTGTAACGGCTATTACGGCACCATAACGGGATGTAATGGGCGTTATAAGAGTGTTACAATCCATTACGCCGCCGAAACGACCTATTTTTAAGCTTTTACTGCTCATCCATGGCGGTTTTATGGCCGGAAGAGATGACCGGCTAAAAAAATGGTGAGTGAAGTTTTGTTTGTATGTTGAGAAATGACAGACTGTCATGGGTTGGCAGACTTTTGGAAAGGGAAAAATCAAGTGCACAATATTCTTTCTACAACTTATATAATGAATGGTTGTTATTCATTATCAACAAATTTAGTCAATGAATAGATGACAAGTATCATGTTCTTTAATAATGTGAATGAGTGGATTTAAATAGATTAAAAATTTGTAGGTGGTGGGGTCCTTCTTGTACGAATTTACTAGCTAATGATTTTTATTTACAATTGCAAATTTTTTTTATTTTATCCCAATGATGTAAATTTATTTTGACTACTCCCTATTTTGAATACAATTTTTAAATAAATAGATATTAATTGCTTAAACTAATTTTCTTTCATTTGCTCTAAATTTGGATTAATTAAGCAATTTAGCATATCAAAATCATGAATATAATAAAAAATTATTATAAATTACAAAAAAACTGAATTTATTTTATTTTGGTCCAAATATATAGAAAATTTTGATTTTTGCCGATAGTTGTGAATAAATTAACAAAATTCATGACTCCGATTTCCGTTACTGTTGCGTAACGCCCGTTACACCCCGTGTCCGTTATACCGTTACCGATACCGTTATATCACCGGTTACCGTTATTCAGAACCATGGTTTGAGGTGCTGCAGGATACTTTGGGGACCTACAAGCAGTTACTCACGAGCTGCGAGCAGGCTGCAGAGGTTGTTGGAGATTTTGACATGGATATCCCGTTTGCTGATGGATTTTTGTAGTTTTGTTTCATGTATATATTTCTTGTTCCACACAATGAAACAAAAAAAGAACAATATATATATATATATATATATTTTTTTTTTTCTGTCTACAAAATCTATTTACATGTTTTCTATGGATCTTTACATTTGTGTCCCTTATGAGTAATATAGTTTCAGCCACTTGGGGTTGAACTTCCCCATTGTTTTCTCAATTTCGCAGTATCCACTATCCTCAACCTTGCAGATTTTAAAAGTCTCTCTCACTTGGCACGCAAATTTAGGAATGGCTAGGCCACACATGACACTCGGGACCGTTTTTAACAAATCGCCTTGCTGAAAGGTCTTTGGCCTGACTGTCGAGTTGTAGGCCTTACACATTCTTCGATGATATTTCTCCAAGTGTTCCCTTGCCCCATCTCGGTGCTCATCGAATGCTTCTAGTGCTGCGTGTCTCACTTCCGAGATCACCTCGGCTCTGGCTGCCAGCCTCGCGAAGGGAACTGCTATTCTCGCAGGGAGTAATGCTTCCTCGCTATAGATTAGTGAATAGGGAGTCGCGTCAATGGGCTTTCTCTTCGAGGTCCTATAGGCCTATAGTGCCATCAGCAGCTGTTCAGCCCATTCAGATTTGTATAAATGAGAATAATAACAATGATGGATCAAGTTCCAATTTTAGATGCACTGTAAAGTTTCTGCAGCTGTCTTCTGAAAGCTTTGATTGCTTGATGAGCAATTCTGGAAAACTCTCAAAGTAATATATGATATAACACATGACTGATTTCAATAAGTTCATTTAACGGTCTCAAATAGATTCATCAAATGGCCACCAACATCCTTCTCAAAATCATTTATATTACATCATGCCTTCAGGCATGGGTTACCCCTAGTTTATTTATATAGTTGACCAATGAATGATGCACTATCCGATTTTGTGCTTGCTGAGTGATCCAAATGAATCAAGCTTTTACGTATGTAACTGATTCAGATTCTTGGGACTGTGACACTATTGGACTTATAATAAAATGTGTTTCATTTTTTCAAGCTCTTACATATGAACTGTGATTCAGACTCTTTGGACTGTGGCACTATTGGACTTTTAACTGACTTATGTTTAAGTTTTTCCAAGTGGACTATTATCGGTACAGTAATTTGGCAGACTGCCACAACGTGATGGGCTTTTTATTATTTAAGAGATAGTTGGGTGAGAGAAACTCTAAATGTCAACTTTTGCATTCCTGTTGGAATGCGTATTGGTCTAAAAATCTCGTAATATAGTCTTGTTGATTGTATTACTTCGGAATTTTTAATACTGGATGGTCCTTGAAGAGGTTTGATTCTTAACATGTGATTATATGTGGCTGTAATATGTTCAAATCCAACGCAGGTGCCTTTAATAGGATATTGTGTTGACGATTCCTTGTTTTTGGTCTACGAATACATTGAGAATGGAAACTTAAGTCAACATCTGTGTGGTTCAGGTGAGAAGCATGTTACATCTGCAAAACCAAGATTTTCATCGGTTGCACTCATCTTATGGTTGTATTGCCTGTTGCTTTCAGGAAGGGAACTATTGCCATGGTCTACTAGGGTACAAATTGCCCTTGATTCAGGTAGATGACTTGAATACATCCATGAACATACTGTTCTATATCCATCGTGATATCAAGTTGGCAAATATTTTGATAGACGAAAACTTCGTGCAAAGGTTGTGAAAACGCATATGAGAATGGTAAATCATCAATCTTCATTGTCTCTTTTTTGACTAGACTAGTTATTCCACAGGTTGCTGATTTTGGGCCGACAAAACTGACAGAAGTTGGGTCTGCTTCCTTGCACACATCTCATGGGTACTTTTGGCTACATGCCTCCGGAGTAAGATTTAGTTGTCTATATGTTTTTTTCTTTTTTGTCAATTTGAGATCACATTTTTTTTGTCTCTGGATTTGGCACTTCAACTTTATTTAGTGAGCCATTCATGCATGTACATAGTCGTTTGAGCTCTTCACTATCAGCCTCAAATCTCAATGACAGCAGAAATCTACTTTGTCTGCCAGCATATCGTCAAATGGAATCAAGGATTATAGAAACTATATGCTTTTAAGGAAATGTAATTGAGTTTTAGGCGGCCTTGGGTGCAGGTATGCTCAATATAGTGATGTTTCCCCAAGATACATGTATATGCTTTTGGGGTTGTTCTTTACGAACTAATATCTGGTAAAGAAGCAATTATCAAGACAAATGAAGTTGTCACTGAATCGAAGGGACTCATTGCATTGGTATGCCTTGTGCTCTCACTCACCTTTCCAAGTAATGGTAACCCTTGAAGTTGGTCCTTTAAAGCTAATGTAAAACTTAACTATTGATATTAAACAGTTTGAGGAAGTACTTAGTCAGACTGATCCTGGAGAAGGTCTTTGCAAACTAGTTGATCCCAGGCTTGGTGACAGCTACCCACCTGACTCGGTGCGAAAGGTAAGCACAAATCCCAGTAATTGCAAGTAATGTAAAAGTATTCTCAAAGTTTAGTGAACTTGAGTGGCTCTTCTCTTTGCAGATGGTCCAACTTGCCAGAGCTTGCACACACGGAAATCCTCAGTTGAGGTCAAGCATGAGGTCCATTGTGGTTGCGCTTATGACACTCTCATCATCAACCGAGGATTGGGACATCGGCTCCTTCTGTGGAAACCAGGGTATGGTTAATCTTATGTCTGGAAGGTAGACTGTGTTACATTTTACCAATTGATGATGCCTTGGGAACTATTCCCCTATAAAGAGGTCTTAGTTACCTGATACGAGTACCACTACCAACTGTAAATGTCTGCAATTGAACTGTGTGAAAGGCCTTGTCGGCGCATTTTTAATCATTCATATAATATTTTTTTTTTGGTGTTTAGGAGGACCATACTTAACTTTTTAGTTTCTGTATATTTTGTGAAGTATAGTTGTGCTGCTGATCATAACAGATGCTATGTTATCTCAACCCCCCCCCCCCCTTCCTCCGTCCCTCCTCCCAGTTGGTCCTCGCTCTTCCAACAAATGGATCCAGTTTTTGGAATAGATATTGGTTTAACATGGTCCTCGCATTTGCACAGGGATCATAGAGAGTTCTCGGGGTTATTACATATCTCGTCTTAGTTATGTTCTAGTCATTTACTATTCTGAAACATCATCCACAGTTCTATCTCTTGGCTTCAACATATGTTCATGACTTGCCCAAAAACAAAGAAACAATCAGTGTTCATGCCATATGCAACATGAAATTAAAATTTCATTTGGCTTTCTTCCATGGACAGGCCTATAAACTTCCAAATAAGTAAATTATATAAACTATATCTTGGAGAGAGAGTCGTATTAATCTAAAATGTTAGGTGTAACTAAACAATCTTTCTTGCATCTCATTAGTCAAAGAATATCTTCACATTTCAGCCATATTACCAGGATAGGCACTAAAAATCAAGCTTTCTTGTGTATATAAAACCCTCTTGACCCACCACAAATAGTATGAATAATAAGCAACATCCAACTTTTTCCCATTAGTTGGCTTGTCTTTATTGGTGGCTGTCACATAGTGCTTTTGATGAGACACATTTCCATTCCCATCTTTGTTTTCACAAACAAGTGACGTATATTAAAGAATATATAAAATAAGGAGTTGTCTAGAAAAATAAATTTTTGGAATTATACCAAAATTTATTATATTTATAGATATTTTTATCACTGTCATAATACTAAAAAAAAAATAATCAAAATAATTACCAAAACAGTGATAAAAATACCCACAAAAATTAATAGAACGCTTTTTAAAATAGTAAATTTTTGAGGTATGGTATCAAATTTTTTTTATCGCGTAATCAAGTCCCATAAATAAACTCAACCTAATGTCCAAATGTAAAATCAACTAGTCGGAGGAGAACATGAACATCCATTCTATCGTACCCAAATGTACATGGTGTAAGAGTGATTGTGCACGTGTCAAGCTTGCAACCGTGAGACCAAAGGAAACATGGAACAATTGTTGATTTGTCATTTTGATATAAATAGATCAAGGGGGCCTACATCATGCTGTTGTCGATGTGGAAAAGTAGCCTTTGACAAAAAATATTTCTAGATAAGTGTTAAACATTATCATAAGAAAGTAAACAATTGCTTAATAATAAAAATTAAATGAAAAATAAAGCGAGTCTTAGTCCAAGATTAAGTTCGACACATCATGTAGTTTTCTTGCATTTAGAAGTATTTACACGAAGTTAATAAAAAATAGGAATTATATTTAAGAATATATAAAAAATTTGACCAAATCTTAATCAACCACCACTATATATACATTGACTATATGTATTAAATCATGAATTCACACCAAAATTTTGAAAAACAGAAGTCAAATACAACAATATAATAAGATTAATGCGTATGCTTTTGTGCGAACTATTATGATTTTCCAACATTTGGCCACCCCTAATCTTTTTGTCCTTTAATATCACACGGATAATTATAAAAAATTTTACTACCCTTATGTTGGGTCGAAACTAATATTTCATTAAGCCTGCAACTTGGATTGGACAACCCGATTTCAACCCCAACTCAACCCGAAAAAATTAGGACTTAGACAAGAGTTTTTAATATTTGGATTGGGCTTGAGTTAAAAAACTTCAACTCGAATTTAATTTGGGTGGGTCTCGGGTTGACCTCTTGGGTTTATGATTTTGAACCCGAATATTAAAATGGGGCTCAACCAGAATTACTATTATATAAATACAATTTTTGAATGTTTTGTAATATATTTGAATGTTATGTTTGTGTTATGTTAAATTAGTTGTTGATCGTTAAATTATGTAATATATTTGTGTTATATTTGAAGTTGTTGATTGTTAAATTATTTGAATATTATGTAATAATATGTTTCAGATTTAGAACATTAACCCAAAATCAGCCTATAAAATAATTTGAAGTCAGTTTGAAATTATTATTTTGAATTCAACTCGAGTCCGCTCGAATTAAATTCGGGAAGTGCTTGAGTTGAGTTTATCAACCCGTTGTAGGGATAGAGTTAGAATTAAAATTGAAAATTATATACCTAAAATTGAAGTTATATTGCCAACCTGTTGGAGCCGCGCCCGCGAAATATCCCACCAACTCAGTTAAGACTGCGATACACCTGATCGAGACTCCTCACAAATCCCGACCATACTAGCTGTCCTTATAACTCAATCCCACGCAGCCCACACTGCATTCACGCGTGCCAACGGCTAATACGCTCCCCACGCGCACCCAGATCGGCCTACAAGACGGCCTAAAACTAGATGGGGTCAATATGGAAAATCAAAAAAATTATTTGACATCGATACAAATAATAAATAAATTGTTTAATTTCTTAATTTTATGAGTTAGACAATATAAACATAAATATTATATAAGACTAATTTAATTTTGAAATTAAATTTGAGCAAATTAATATTTGATTGATTAGACTTATTTATACCTCAACAACGTTATCGTCACGCTGTGTCACCAACTAACAATAAATTTAACAACTCTATAATTAGATCTTTCATATTTTAGAAATCACGAGTCATGTCACTAGATAACAACCTCATGAAATTTATTTTGTCAAATTATAAATTTATTATAAGACTGTGATATCATGTGTTAATGACGATTTGATTTTATCGTTCACCCAATATTTACAAGAATTTAATTAGAGACCTAATTAAATGCAGACATTTAATTAATTGTAAGTTTTAATCTTGAATGGAACATGTTTTGAATTCAATGGTCACGTTGAATTAAATCTTTAAATTAGTATTATACAACTAAAATTACATAGCTCGTGAAATCACTCGCTCAACAAGCGCGTGATTAACCAGCCCCTCATCTAAACCCATTGGCAAAAAGTAGCCGTTGCTGCGTGCACGTGGCGCGTTGCCGACATCCAACGACTTTACCCACAGTGTCACTTTAAGTTCCCGAAACGGTAAATCTACCAATCTGACGAAAAGAAATTTCCCAAATTTTGTGCTCAGCCAAACGCACACTGTCACGAACAAAATCTCTGCAAGGAAACTTTCCAAAAAAAAAAAAAAACCACAGTATGTGTATGTAGCGTGTGTGTTTTAGTTAACCCACCCAGAGAGACAGAGACAATTTGGCGAATGTTCTTGGCTTTGATTAAGCTCTGAAGCAACCCATCTGGACAATCTTCGATCTAAGGCTCTCCTTATCTCTCTTCCTGCTTCGTTTTTTGTTTTATTCAGTGGGTTCTTGCACAGCTTGCTACTCATTGAACAGAGCTCCCGAAGTATAGAAAAAGAGTAAGAATTTCTTGAACTAGCATTATATTTATTTTTTGCAGATTTTCAATTATCTGTGGACTGGCGTATGAAATTTAATCTGAAGTTCTCGGAAAAATTTCTGTTATGGGGAAAAATTACTTTTTTGTTCGTGATAAGTTTGTTGAAGAAATTTGACTTGGGTAAAGTGTTGTTGTTGCAGTTGGGTGGTGATGACCAAAACTAATGAACTTTGGTTTCTTATGCTTGTTTCAAACATGTTTGTTCGTAATTCTTTGTGTTTTCTTTCTGTATACTACTGCAATTGTGCTGTCAACAGTTTTCGTTAATACATTCGGGAGGAGATGAACATGATTTGATTATTGTGGTTTTTTTTTTTATTTGGTCCATAGGACATCATACCTTATTTAATGAAATAGCTTAATGGTGTTGTGAAAGGTCAGATCATAGGCATAAGGATAGGAAGTTGGAACATCTGTACTTTGACTAAGGATTATCTGATCAAGTTGATGATATGCTTCACTATATGTCGGGAGATGTGTGTTGGGTTATGAAAAAATGTTTTTGACCAAGTGTTCTATTGACGCACTCCAGTTCTTGTAAATGTACAAGATATGGCTTTCCGGAGTTTCCTTCTTTTTTTTTTGGGGTGGGGGGGGGGGGGGATTTATTTCTGGAAAATTTTGGTTGTTTTGAAATGTTTAAGAAGCACTATTATTGGTTATCTACAAAACATGTTGCATTTAGCGTCTTTTATGAGTGTTGTAGTGTGCATATCATCTCACTTTTATGCATTAAATGTACTTTTTTGACAGGGAAATTCACAACTTTTATTTTGAGGATCTAGCTAAATGGCTACATTTGCGGATATAGGGCTTGCTGCAGTTATCAATATTGTCACTGCACTTGTCTTCTTGTTGGCTTTTGCCATACTGCGGCTTCAACCTTTCAATGATAGGGTGTATTTTCCAAAGTGGTATATTAAGGGTTTAAGAAGCAGCCCAACACACTCCGGGGCATTTGCAAGCAAGATTGTCAACTTGGATCTGAGATCATATTTGAAGTTTCTCAATTGGATGCCAGATGCACTGAAAATGCCAGAACTTGAGCTAATTGACCATGCAGGATTGGATTCTGCTGTTTACTTGAGGATTTACTTGATTGGGTATGGTATGGTATTAAAATTACCAACATTGCTTTACAAATCACTGTCTTTGCCCGTGTCTTGTTTGAGAAGTCGCTGCGTAAATGACTAGATGGATTTTTCTTTTTGCGGAGAAAATGGAAACAAACGAAGAATTCAAATATGCTTGACCTTCAGTAGTTGTATTATTTGGACACTTCTTGCATTTTTTTGTGATTATGGCGAACATTTGAAAGCTTGATGAGACAAGTAATTGTTATGTCAAAAGTTGAAGACATTGAAAAGGAAATTGAGTTATGACATTGAAAAAGATATCGGTGGTTGTAGGTACTAGGCTTAGTTGTTTTGTATCCATATTCATTAGATTACACCTTAGAGAAGTCTTTACCTTGAATAGGCTGGGTGCACCTAGATCTTTGGTTTTTTGGATAAGAATCGCCAATTTTAATAATAACTTAAATAAAACAGTTGTACAAGTACCATTCAAAGGTGGACAAGTCTAGCAACCAAATGATTAGAAAAACATAAAGTAAAAAGCAAAAGCTTGAAAATTGGATCCATGTTACAGTCCAACTTGCCATGATACTGAATAGAGGAATATTATCAAAATCCTTTGTCACAGATGCCCAAAAAGAAGCCAAGAAAAGAAGTCGATCCCATAAGGCCTCAACATCGTCCCACGTTAGATTCTAGCATTTCTCTCCATCCATAAGACCCAAATTGGTGCAAAAAGAGCACAATGCCAAAGAGTTTTCCTTCAATTTTTGGTATGAATCTATCAGAATTGATTGCAACTATATGTTTATATATACTAACGACTGCCTGTATGTTCATATGACATCGTTGAATATACAAACTTCTGCTGGTACATTGAGGCACACTCAAAAAACTTGTGTTCCATTGTACTTGTCTAGTGTTTATCTTGTGTTGATTATTGTAGTTTTTTTTAATCTCTTTTCTGCTTTGAGAATATCATCTCAGCTGAATGTTCATCTTAAATTGCTAAACTTGTTGTCTCTTGCTGATTTCTGCACATTCATCTATGCAGACTCAAAATCTTTGTTCCTATAACGTTCCTTGCTTGGGCTATCCTGGTACCTGTTAACTGGACAAATAGCACTTTAGAAAAAGGGCCATCCAAATTAACTTACAGCGACATTGATAAGCTTTCTATTTCAAACATTCCGCTTGGATCACTCAGGTTAGGAGACCTCTTCTGTTGCCAAGCTCTGAAATATTTACGAACTGTTTACTTGTTCCATATGAAATGTTAGATAATACCATACAATATATTCTTGTTACTGTAACTTTTCTAATAGTTTTCCATTCATATCATATGTATTGACATTGTAGTGCTGGTCAATCCTAAATTCATTCATATGAGAATTGAGGATCTTGCTGGGTTGCCCTTATCTATGTTGGAACACCTTTGGCACAGTTTTTCGGTTAACGTATCCTACACATGTCTATGGTACAACCAAGAATTCGAGATTTTGATTGTACTTGTGTCATGTTGGCCTGATTAAAACTGCTGTATTCATCCAATTGTTGGAAACTTGAAAGTGAAGTTGGATGTTATGGCCTCCATATGCATTTTCTCCTTTCTGTACACATCAAAGAAATATCTTCAATGATCCTTGTAAATGTTTGAATAATGGTTCCCACATATCTTATGACATGAAGGCTCATGTTTCTATTTGGTCCATTTTAGTACTATTTCTTTGTCTGTCATTTCTCTTTGGCACATTTAAATCCATTTGGAGGCTCGTCTCTGGCTTCTTAGACGCCTTCTTAAATGTGAGTATGTCATCAGAATGTTTCTGGTATGGCAGGGTACCGTATACCTCCACAAAGTTGACCAGCCGACCCATCTCTCTAGGCAGTGGCATCCGAGATTCCTATTAGAGCATATGCTT